GGTTGGCCCACTGTTGTGTGCTGTCCTATGAACACCCCCCCCCCCCCCCCTACTCCTCCACACTGACTCCTAACGCAGTCACCATCAGCGTTGATGACTTCCTGGACAGACAGAGACAGAGACAGAGACAGAAACAGCCGTCCACTCCAGAGGACGACATGGAGGTTTCTCGTTTCAACACAGCCAATCCCAAGTCAAACACCCTTAGCTCCCAGCAGAGACACATCGTCCCCAAGTCCACGGTTCACCCCCCCTCCACCCCAGGTCTCTCTGTGCTCCACGGTGTGGGACCACCGCACCTCTCTGCTTCAGCCGCCCCTCACCCACCTCCCTCCCCTGCAGCCCCAGGTCCTGAAATGACCAGCACCCCCCCCAACCTACCTCCATCCAAGACCACTCCCACCCAAAACCCAACTCCCACGTCTGGTGGGGGTTCTTCCTCTGCCTCCTCTCGCTCAAGGACTCCACTGTCATTGGCTCAGCAGAAATACAAGAAGGGCGACGTGGTGTGCACCCCCAACGGTATACGTAAGAAGTTCAATGGTAAACAGTGGAGGAGACTGTGTTCCAGGGAGGGCTGTATGAAGGAGTCTCAGCGGAGAGGCTACTGCTCCAGACACTTATCCATGAGGACCAAAGAGATGGAGGCAGCCGGGGGCGAGCGGGGGGGTGGGGGCAGCAGCTCAGGGATAGTTACCCCGTCTGACCTGCGCGGGAGAGCGAGCAGTGAGTTTGAGTGGGACGAAACGTCGAGAGAGAGCAGCGAAACCAGCAGCAGAGGAGACTCCAGACCCCGTCTGGTCCTGCCCCACGACCTGTCTTCACGATTCGACTTCGACGAGTGCGAGGCAGCCACCATGCTGGTGTCGCTGGGGAGCTCCCGCTCCGGCACCCCCTCCTTCTCCCCCACCTCCAACCAGTCTCCCTTCTCTCCAGCCCCCTCTCCCTCACCTTCCCCACTGTTTGGCTTCAGGCCGGCCAACTTCTCCCCGGTTCTCCAGCACCGGAGGCACAGGCAGTCCAGTGGTACAGGGGGGGGGGGCGCTAAGGTCGGAGGAGCGGAGAAGGAGAAACACGCTTCGGGCATCCAGCCCTCCTTCAGCAGCAACCTGACGTTTACAGTTCCCATGAGCCCCAGCAAACGAAAGCCAGACGCTGCTCCACCCGTTTCCTCGCACCATCACGATTACTCACACGGAGTAAAGACGGAGCTGGAGCAGGGGGACCTGAACTCTTTCAGGGTGTTGTCCCCCCAGACGCCAGCCTCGCACCCTCACACGCACACGTCCACCTTCTCCCGACCAAGAGGGGTGACCACCCCGTCCTCCGCGGCCGTCTCCCCTCCACCTCTCCTGGTGTCTGCGACTCCCCCCTCTCCCCTCGGTTCTGATGCAGGGCCTCGTCGCGTGGTCCCTGTTTCTCAGCAGACCTTACGTGACTCTCCTGTCATCGTGAGGAACCCTGAAGTCCCACTGGCTAAATTCACCGAATGTCCCGTAGGGAGGGGGCGAGAATGTCTCCTGGAGGGAGCTACAGAGAACACCACACCCAAAGACACGGCTCCAGCTCCCGTCACCCCGCAGCCCATTCCTGGACTGCAGGTTCCCGTCCCCATTAACGCCGCTGCAGCCACCGTACCCAATGGCACCATCTTTTTACGGAGCGCCGCCCAGACTCTGGTGCTCGTGTCCCCGTCAGCTACCTCCCTCCCGACCTCTGACCCCTCCGTCACACCCCTTCAGGCACTGTCAGTCGCCGTCAGCACAATCTCTACGGCTGCTCCTCCGAGCAGCACCAACATCTGCGCCGGTCGAGGGGACACCAGAGGGACAGCGTTCGGGGGTGAGGTCCAACAGCCGGTGCCCTGTCACCCGTCTCCAACTGCCCTGCTGCCCTTGATTCTTCCAACAGAGAGTCTCCACCCAGTCCCACGAAAGGACATCATCATGGGACGTCCAGGCACCGGTGAGTTCACGTTATGTTCAACTAGGTGTATTTCAGTAGCAGGATTCCTGGTTTGAATGATCGAAAATTAAAGTAAATTACATTTACTGAAGAGTTAAATTAATTATTAAAAAAATAAATTATTTTTGAAAAAGTTTCACCCTTAAAGTTTTTGACATTAAGAAACTGTTACAGAACTATACCGTATATTTGTGTAATGTTGCTTTTAGATTATCATTCATCATCAGTTTCCCTTTATTTACATATATTTATTTATATATATATTTATGTATATATGTGTGACCTGACCCCCCCCCCTGCCCCCTCTGTCTTCATGTCATTCATGTTCACTGACCAACACTTCACTACAGTTTTATTAAGATGATGTGGTTAAATATCTGGTATGTGGGCCACACAACGGACCAGCGTTAATCAACAACAAATCAGAACAGTTGAGGTTTTATTTCTAATAATCAAATTAGTCCAGGCAGTAACTCCTTCTCAAATCCATGTTCACATTTGTCTGTGTGACAACAGTGTCCAGGTGGACCACGGTTTGGACCACAGTTTGGACCACGGTTTGGACCACGTGACCCAGTCACAGCCTGTGTGTTTGGCTGCCCACTGAATGCAGCCTACATGCTGTCGGCCCATATGGTCTGCTCTAATCAGGCGTCCACACTTCTCACTTCTCCTTCTCCTTCTCCGCTCGGTGTCACATGACCCACATAAGCCGCGCACACACACAGCACCGTCAGCAGCTTCACTCCTGCGTCTACTGACCATCAAACACATCACGTTAGTCGACAGCGTTCAGCCACGCTGGGAGAGAGAGAGAGAGAGAGAGAGAGAGAGACAGAGAGAGAGAGAGAGACACTCCCACGTCCCAGGGACACGGAGCGTTTGACCACAACTATTATTATTATTATTATTATTATTATTATTATTATTATTATTATTATTATAGAAACATATCAAAGCAACAATTTGTCAAGTGTGTGTGTGTGTGTGTGTGTGTGTGTGTGTGTGATTGTGTGTGTGTGTGTGTGTGAGATTAAAGGAAAAAGGGAATTTTGAAATATTGGAATCAAAGACTTGATACGTGTTTAAAGAGTCAGAGGTTTACACACTGACTCAGTTCATCATCTTCATCATCATCATCATCATCATCATCATCATCATCATCAGTTCTGATGTTGAACTGAGTCAGTGTATAAACCTCTGACTCTGGTTCTGATCCAGTTGATGTTTGGTCCAGAACAGAGGTCACTGTGTTGACCAGGTCCACACTGACCCACGGCTTCATTATCAGCTTCACACACACACACACGGGTGGTAATATAAACAGATGGGAGTTGGACAACAGTGGAGGCTGAATGAACCAGGTGTGTGTGTGTGTGTGTGTGTGTGTGTCCACTGGAGCTGAGATCATGTGGGTGTTTTTTTTTTCTGAGCAGATAGAAAGTGTGTGTACGTTCTGCACGTCGCTGTAGGAGTGTGTGTGTGAAACACCAGATAAAAAAAGGAAACACCACGGTCCTGCGTGTGTGTGTGTGTGTGTTCGTTCAGACACTTCATAAATATCTTATTTTTAGTCTTTAGTATTTTTTTAAATCTAAACAAAAAGAAAATATAAATAATTAAATTGACCTTAAATTTATTGTACCAAAATAATTTATTACAAAAAGATCATTTACTCTGAAAAAATGTAATTTGATCATAATAATTTTATTTTTGCAGGAAAAAAATTCTTTTCCTAGTTTCCTGTTTTATCAGGTCATTTCCTGTCATTTTTTTCCGTTTCTGTCTGATGTGTTTCGTCCTCTGTCCTCCTGAAGTCCAAGTCTGGACACACAGATCAGACCGCTTCAGTCCAGACATGAGAACAGGTGTAGTCACTGGTCTGCTACGTACGGTAAAGAGTGTGTGTGTGTGTGTGTGTGTGTGTCACATCCTGGACCTGTCACTCTGGACCTAACCTAAAGTTCTGGTTCCATTAAAAGAGCGTTTGTCTTAAGGCTCCAGTCCTGGTGTCTCCACTGGTCCACTGATGTTGAAGGAGCAGGTGTCAGTTCTCAGAGATCCACAGAACCTGGAACGACACCAGGTCTGACTCTGTCGTCTGATCTGTGTCTCTAACTTACAAACACAGCCTGAACTTGGCTGTGTGACTGTGACACACACTCATCGGTACCTGTCATCGGTACCAGTGTTAATTTGATTCCCTTTTTCTCACATGAGAATTATTCTTCCAGAACACTTGCATGGATTTGTTTTAACCCTTTGAACTATCGCACTGCGGTGGCTTTTCTTCTCCTCCTCTCTCCATCCTGGTCTACCCGGATACGGATACCCGGGAATAACATCCCCGCTCCCTCCCTTCCTTGTTTTACGTAACGCTTAAAGCACTGCATCCTCCCAGGCCATGGCAACAACCACATCTGGATCACACCGCCTTCTAAAGTGGCACCAAAGCACGAGCGCAGCCTTTAAGACTAACCACGCAAGTCACGTGCCACAATTATCTCCTCTCTGATTGGCCGCCGCGCGCCAGAGAGGATTGTCAGATGCTCCGATGCACTGGGAGCAGGGAGATGTTGGAGGCTCCAGAGACTTTGACTGCACGTATGTGAAGTTTGGAGCAGCGTCCAGCCTCCTCCTCCTCCTCCTCCTCCTCTTCCTCCTCTCTGAGTCACTGCTCTTCATTCATCTTTCAAGGTCAAACCGTTTCATGTCTTTCACACATTCCATCGGTTGGAATGAATCTGTCTTTAACATCATGAATTTCTTGTCTCTCCCTCACCTCCCTCACCCCCCTCACCCCCCTCACCTCCCTCACCTCCTCCACTTTTCCTGTCATCTCTTACTTTGCACTGGCTTATCGGCTGCCTTTCTGAAAGCCATTTATCTGCAGACTAATACTGCCCCCAAATGGACAAAGTTGCACATTACACGTTTCCTCACAGTGGGTAGAATGACTTGGCTCTCTCCCTCTCCCCCCCCCCCCCCCCCCCCCCGCCTCCCCCCCACCTAACCAACACACACTAATGTGTGCCAGTGTGTGATAGTTGTTGTTCACTGTTGCTGTGGGAGAGTGGAGTCTGCCTACGTCATCAGAGGAGATGAAGTGGCGTTCAGTTCCTGTCCGTGAATGATGCAGCCAATCAGAGCTGTCTTTATTTGTCCAATAACTCTGTAGTAAAGTTGTCCTTTTATGGAGTTTTTGAAATGATTGAATGGAAATCATTTTCATCATTTTTATTTTTAAATCATATTGTTTCGGCCGCTCTGAGTGGGAGGTGCACTTCACTGTAAACGTTGTTAAAATGTGACGTTCACTGGACGTCGGTGGTCAGTGCTGCTCCGGCTACATGTGGAAACCTGGGCCCAACATAGCTGTTGCCATGGTAACTGCAACGGAACAGTGGATGAAGTTATAATTGGACAGAGCAAATGGTGTGTTGTGGGAGGTAGAGACGTAGAGGGGGGTTAGGGGACGATGGAGACGGGACAAGAGAGCGAGGACGGTGTTCCTCCTTCACTGAACTGACACAGACACAGACACAGGAGGAGGAGGAGGAGGGGGGGTCCAGAGGGGGAGGAAAAGTTTATTGATTGATGATGTAGCATTTTTATTTGGCGGGAATCATTGACAGACGTGTGAAGATGAAGAAGATGAAGAAGATGAAGAAGATGAAGAAGATGAAGATGAAGAAGAAGAAGAAGAAGATGAAGAAGCAGCTCTACCTCCAGTGAGAACTGCTGACCACCTACACAGACCGTCCACTGACAGTGAGTTTAGACCCAGTGAGACTCAGGCAGCGGGTCAGTTCTG